CTCTTGGTAAAAACATTTATTCATTATCTCTTAGCATAAAATGGTTAATATCATCAAAGATAACATCGAACAAATCCTTATTTTGATTTCTTTTACGCCACATGAATTCACATAAATAGCTATCTAACATCTTAGTATGAACTCCCCACATCTTTTTAAATTTACTCTTAGCAACGTTCCAAAGACCCTCAATATTGTTCGTATGTGCACCGCTCTCAGGATCAACAAAGTTATAACGATGATTAACAGTTAAGTGACTATAATGATTGGGGTGAGATTCAATGCCATTATAAGATCTCCAGCAATCACTCACGATTGTGGTACCTGGTAATATGGAATGATTAATACATTGAATTAAAGATTTGGCTGATCTATCGGGCACAGAGTAAAGGAAGCATTCTTTAGTTTCGCGACAGATTCCTCCGAACACCCATTGCTGTCGCTTTATCCTTCCTACGTTGTATTTCCTTTTTGAGACGAGAGATTCATCTATTTCGACCGTACAGTTCTGTCCTCCAATTTGAATGGGATTTTTCAGAAGATTGTAAGCACAAACTTCGCGTAAACAATTGTTGTAATCAACGACTGTATTAATTGAAAGCGCTAGTTCGTCCTTACAAAACTTCACAGACGTGTATTCTTTAGTCCAGGCGTAAACGAACATGATAAACTTAGAAAAAGGCAAACGAGATTCTGAATAGGAATGCAAAATATCATCATAATCACCACACTACCTTCCAAATACGTTCCTGTACGAATTTGACTTTCCTTCCTACATGTCTTTTTGGTACATCTCCACCTCTCTTTTGAAATAGAAAGCGACATTTTAGTTCCACATTGCTCACAATTTTTGCTTGAAGGTATGAGACCTCTCGTTTGAAGAAATTTGATGGCATCTTCCTTGTTTGAGACTTCACTTCGAAGAGCAAGCATATTTCAAGGTAATAATTAATTACCGAATACATTCTCTCCCACTATCTACACATTATGAAATAAGGCTTAGGATAAACCTCAAAGGCTTAGGCTGAAGCTATATATTCTAGCCTAAGCCTTTTAAAAAATGGAAATCCTTTTTATAAACAAGTTTAGGGTCTTATATTGTAGCCTAAGCCTTTTAAAAAATCTAAATTCTACAAAAATAAATTCCGTGCGGCAACGGCAAAAGGGGCGGAGCCGGGGGGTGAAATAATGCATAAGAGCCGCGTTGCTTATTGTTTTATATGAATACTGTGGAGTTTGAAAATTTCCTCTAATCAAAAGGATTAGTCGTTTTGTATTCGCACACTATTCAATCATTTATCATTATCTTTCATTCTATAAATCTTCTATTGCGATAAGAAATCATTTTCTCTTTTTGTCTTTCACAGCTAATTAACTGCTCTGGAACAAAACAACTTTTGCTTCATAGATCGTAATTTGTTTCATAAACTCTTGCCGCTGTCGGCATCGTACCTAGTCGACTAGTCTGATTCAATCATTCAATCATGACGGCTCTAGCTCACATACAGCTGTACATTCATTCGCTTATTGAACTTCATGCCTTTTTGAAGATTTGTTGAAGAAAAAGATGAAGGCTGTATTACAACGTTGCTTTCGTTTTCATCTCATATTGGGGTTGGTGTGGCAGTTTTCTTTCAAAATTTCAAAACCTTCTTTTCGACTTATCTTGCGATTACTTCTATTATTTAATCAATTTATGAAATCAGCTCATTTTCTAGTTTAGTAGTTAGTCTCGTTATCTTAATACTATGGATGAATTTAGTTCTGCTGACATACTGAGTGACCAAACCCATTAGTCGAAGACGAAACGATTAAGCAAGTTTTGAGCATAGTTAAATTCCTGGTACATCAGGTCATTATCCGTGCCGGCTCACTGTTACCTCATCCATCTAATGTCTTTCCATCCTCAATACCCTGCCTGTTTGCTTCCACTTTTTTTCTTTTTTTCTTTTCGATTATCATCATATATCTATCTATCTCATTCTTTTAACACTGACGTTCCATTTCTCTGCTCTGAAATTCTCTTTTTAACAGTTGTTCTTTTGTTATTTTCATCAGACTCCGGTCACAAGATCGCCAGTCAAAGTCTATGGATCTCACTTGACGATCAAATCTCATTGCAACGATTCTCTATTCTATTTTAACCCTATCCGTTCAACCTAATCATTACTTTTAAAGATTAAATTGTTTTCAGATGAAGCTTCTTCTTGTGCTAGCTCTCATCGGAGCTGCTTTCGCCTATGGAGGCAAAGACAGTATGCTGTCCAGCAACCGTATTCATTCCGAAGATGGTCTCATAAGCTCAACTTGTGAAGAGTGTGAAGGAGTAAGGTTTTTCAATTGCACTTCAATCTATCCGCTTTACTTCAGCTCGTCAAACGATTCGTTCTTGCTTCTCACGATGAACAGAAGATGAGAGAGTTCAAGCTCTTACTTTCTGCTTTGTGCCACGAGACGTCATATGTCGAAGAATGCAAAGTGTTCGTCGCCAATATTGATAAAGTCATTCATAAATTGGAACCTTATCTGGTAAATCAGTTGATTATCTTGAAGAATGGTTTTTTGTTTTAATTTCTAGTCTGACTCTCACAGAGTTTGCAAAGCTTTCCGTTTCTGCGCCAACTCTCGACTTGATGCTTTCCACCGTGTCGGACTCCTCTATGCCAAGAAGGCCCTTGATCAGAGCGAAGGAATGGTGAGTATTATTTTTTTTCTATTTAATTACAATGCAGAAAACATTGAAGTCAGCTGTCCCAACATGTGGACTCCGCTATTTTAAGTAAAAGTTCTTATTTTGTTTTTTTTCCAGAAGGATCTTGCTTGTGACGAATGTCAATTTGCTGCTAACGAGCTCAAGCAGTTGGTAGAAGATAAAGAAAAGCAAAAATCCATCAAGGAATTCTTCTCCAAGAGCGTTTGCATCTACGCTTACAGCTACCGTGGCATGGTTTGTTTCGCATAATGTTGACTTTTAATTCATCTCGTTCCAGTGTGACATGCTCGTTGAACAACTCCTCCCAACATTCTTCGAACAACTTGATGCCGCACTCCAAGTCCCCAAAAAAGTTGGCTAACTTTTGGATTTCTTGATTAGGTCTTTTTTTAGGCTTGTGCTTCCATTGGTTTCTGCCCTAAGGAGAAAGAAAGCTTCCGTTTGGTAGGATTTCTGAAATTCCTTTCCCGCCTCTAGGCGTATTCTACCTTTTGGGATTATCACACCCCGACAGGGATTCTCCCTTTTCTGAAAAACTCTACCTATGTATGTACCGTACCAAATGCCACCTTGTGTCAAACAAACCGCATAAATGTTGTCTCTGTTTCCTTTTTGTCGTAAGACGATATATTGCATTTGGATTATCGTTTATCATCGTTCTCAATGCTTATACCAAAGTGAACCCTCAATAAATATGACATTACTTTATCCTTTTTTATGTTTTATGTTACTTAGTCCAATGATTTAGTTGCCCATTGCTCATAACAAAGGCACTCTCAGAAATTTCTGGGCTGGAGCTAAAACTCTTCAAACCAGCCAAGGTGTAGTTCTCAAATCTTGCTTGGATTGTGAATTGGAATGTGACGAGATGCTTCATCTTCTCGAAGAAGACAAAGTGAGCTTGCTACTTCAGTAGAGTAAGGGAACTGTTTTTACAGAATGGAGTCGCCAAGATTATCCAAAACTTTGCTTGCAATGATATTCTCCCTAAAAATTTCACTGCTTCCTGTGAGGACTTCATGTCCTTATATCTCCCTACCGTTGTTTACATGACAATCAAGCAATATACTGCTCGTGGTATCTGTGAGAAATCGGATGCTTGTAACTCGAAATCCGGTAATGATTCTTTTCATTCCCAGTGCGCAACAGTTTTCTTCAGTAATGAACCTTGACGCTCTTTCTCTTCAAGAGAAAATGAGCCTAAGAAACGAAGCATGCACTGGAACCATGGATTACTTGAAGGTATCGTTTGTTTCTCCTACAGAAAGAATATATTCCATTTTTAGACTGCTTTACTTGAGCCTGAAGTTCAACACAACGCTGTCGCATCAATTCACTCTGAATATTGTCAAAGAGTTCCATCATTCTGGAGAGAAGGGGTAACTTTTTGATTCTTATGGAATATCAACCGTTCCGCTATCTTATATAATCGTAATCGCTATGTTCTATCTTTGCAGTGTTTCATGTTCACTGCCAAGATGATCCCTAAGCTCATCGAAAAGTCAAGTCTCATTGCTGAGAGTCATGTTCTTTGCCAAGTTGGTAAAATTGATGACACAAAAAAAATATAATCTTTTCAGCGTCATCAGTAATGTTTGGTTGGTAGGAGAATGAATGTATCGATAATTGGCAAAAATAAATTATGTATTCTTAAAATGTTTAATTCAAACCAGCATTTGCTATTGTTCGTATATATTCACAAAAACAGTTTTACAAGTACAGTAACACCGTGCACACATATGCTCGTTAAAATACTTCATAAACATTAATTAGATAGCAAAATTACCTCGTGATGACTCACACGGTAGAGAACAAAGGAAAAATACACCGTTTCAAAGATTATCGCCAGTTGCTAGGAGATACTTTTAAATAAATTAAGGAAACTTATGATTATTTCTTAGCAGGTACTGTAGCTTCGTACTCGGGATTCTTTTTCAATATAACAAGGCCTTCCAGATAAGGTGTCATTGATATATCTAAAATAATCAGTAAAATTTTTTAAAAAACTCATATCGTACATTCATCGTTTGCCAATTCTGCTCTTTCTCCGTATGCGAGTAAAACAGGGGTTGTATGAGTTTGGAATCCCGTAATAGTCTTGGGTTTACCAGCTTGAGCTACCACATCAACAGCTTGTCCAACTCTCACGGTAACGGAAACTTGTTTGAGTTGACCTGGCTTCAGCTCATCCTCGCACAAAGTTACAAGCATTCTTGGCTGCATAGCAAGAACAAGAACATATAATAAGTAATGTTGTTTGTTATTGAGAACCTGAAAAAAGGAGGAGGAATTGAACAAAGAAAATTCGGCTACATACGGAGTTATTTGCATCCAAGAAGGCAAAACAAATGGTCAGAAGGGAAGCAACGGCACTAGGACACAACAGTTGACGATCCGAGTGCCATGGATTCATGGTCATTGTTCCTTTTCCAAGATGTGTTAATCCCTGTGCGATTCTCACAAGCATGAGGGAGAACTGTAAGTTGTCTCATATAATGAAGAAAAAATGCTTTTACCTGATCTTTATGATGGTAACTTGCCAATTGGCGAAGCATCGACACTAAACGTGCGTTGTTAGTTCCAGCACCTACTAATCCCATAGCGAAAATAGCGTTATGTGCAGTATCAGCATCTGCGTCGTGAGAAAACTTGCTCAAAGTTTCCAGAATATTGAGTTGTGGGTGGGAAACGGAGATCAAAGCAAGAGCAAGAGGAACAGCTCTGCGAATTACAGGCTCACCATAACGGATTAAATGTCCGAACATTCTCAAAGCCATCTGAACAAACAAAGTTATCTGAATTTTATCGGGAAACATTCAACCTGAGATCCAACTTCTTCTCCCATTGCAATCAATCCAATACCGATTACGGCAACAGCTTGCTGACTGGAAAGGTCGATCTTGCCATCATCTTTTTTCTCTTTCTCCTTTTCTTTGTCTTTGTTATCTTTCTTCTTATCCTAACACAGAATGAGAATAAGGAGAGCGAAATCGAGGATACCTTCTTCTTATCATCTGCTGTTTCGTAGTGTTCCGAACACATATGAAGTAGCTTCTGTATTTTAAGAACATTTCCTGTTCCTGCATAAGCACACACATCCACAAGCGTAGACACCATTGATCCGAATGGCTCAGGAAGAGATCTCAATGACTCCACAAATACTTCACTCTTCTCCTGGGTTCCTACAAAGATCATTGGTGAAAAATTTTAAACAACAAAGAAAACCTAAGAAGATCAAAGCAATTCCAAGAGCCAAGAAACGCATGTTTGGTTCAGCAAGCTCTTGTTCACTTTTTTCCATCAATGTTTGCAGCATTTCCATAGCTACAGTATGATCCGCAGTACCGACCATAATCAATCCCAAAGAAAGACCGGCAAGCCCTTTTACTTCAGCAGTAGAAGAATTTTTCGTATCTGTCAACACCTACAGAAGAGCTGAGAATATAAAACATTTTTTGACACACCTTCTTAAGCTCAAATATCACTCCTCCATCTTCATCTTTGGTTACAGTCTCACGTTTCGAGTTAGCATAAGCTAATCCAAGGCCGAGAACAGAACCGATTCGCATTACAGCCCTGTCCGAATGAATATGCTCGAGAAGAAGAGCGCAAGCAGGATCACAAGGATCTTGGATACCAGAGGAGATGATACCAATGGCCAGAAGGGTTCCGGCCTGTTAAGAATTAAACTAAATATTTTCGGTCCCATGCTAGCGATACCTTGATGAAGTCATCATTCACATATAGAAAATGGTCACATTTGTTCAATCCAGAGTCAATATCCCATCTCCAAATGAGACCTTGAGATGCTGCAGCAGAAAACATTCCTAAAAAAACACAGAAGTGCTCCAATATGCAAACATTTACAAACCAAATTCCTTGTTCTTGTAGAACCATCTGTTAGCATCTTCTCCTTCGGCCATCATCTTGTCAACTCCGAATCCGCAGTTCACGAAACCGTTAACGAAAGCTCCTGCCAAATTCATTCGAGACGAATCAGGAGCGCTTGTGTTTCCGAAGGGTCCTAACACAATATTATTCGATATTGAACTTCAAAACTTACTACTGTGCTCAAGATGGCTTTTATAGATTCCTTCTGGTGTTTTAGGCTCCATAATGTCAAGCTCTCTAGCCAAAGAACGGAAGTATTCATAAAGATGAGTATTGCAGTTAAGTTCAGATAGCTGGTCCCCGTTTGGAACATCCTCGAAGTCAATGTAGACTTGATGACGACCCAAAAGGATAGCCATTTGTTGTTGTAAGAGTCTAACAATAAAAAACAATGAGAGGATAAAGAAAAAGAAAACTAACGGATCAGTAGTTTTCATGAAAATGGACTTGATTTCATCGGTATCGTTTAACATTATAGCACATCTGACAGCTTCCAAGTAACGTTCAAACTTCAAATAAATATCTTTAGCGCATCGAATGAGGATGATGTTATCCGGGTCTGGTGTTAGAGGAGCACAGCTAAAAAAATCGTTAACGTAAGAAACAAGCCACAAAGACGATACCTCAAAAGATACAAACAAACGCGGGGATGATCAACATCGTGCACATATTCAAGAAGTAGCTCGAGCTTCTCGATTTCAATCAGGAGATCACAAGCTTCGACCTGTAACAATAGCAACAGTGAAGAACTGTTTTCATAATCACCTCAGCATTGTGTTTCATATTGTGCTCAACGATTTCACGAGCCATGGCTGTCAATTCTTCACGTCTTAATAGAAGATAATATTAAAACCAAATTCAAATCTCAGTACCTGATCTTGCCCTTATCGGTGCCATCACCAGCTGCTCGCCATTCATCGGCCATTTCCGTAGCCAAGTGTCTCACGTACTCATGTCCCCAATCACTCATAGATTCACCGAGACCCTTGAAAAAAAGCTGGTAATATACGTTGAGAAATCAAAAAAAACCTTCATTCGGTAATTGATGCAGTCGTTCTTCTCGTCCGAACACATAGCAAGCACAGAAATTATGTCAGCACAGAGTTTCTAGAAAAAACATTGATTAAACAGCAGTTTAAGAATATATAAACTTTAGGAGTTCCTTCTGCAATTTTGTCAAAAATTTCTTTCATTTTTTGATAGTGAGGACGCATGAATTTCAGAGGCTTAGGAACTGAAGTCATAGATGTTGTGGAGGCACGGATCAGAGATCTCATGCTCTCCAATGATGGTTGGTAAAGAGATTGATCGCTTTCCTGAAATATTATAGTATTAGGAGGTATATTTAAGAACTTACGCTCAATCGCTGAACAAGCATATTCAAATCTTCTTCTAACTTTCTGTCTTCTTCTGTCTGAACAAATTCATAGTTTTGAAGTGAGAGCTCAGAATTACCATTTCATCCTTCTTTTCTTCCTTTTGACCCTTAACGGGTTGTTTTTCAAACTTATCTGTAGTAGAGCTTTCTTCTTTGGACACCATCTGAAATGAATTTCATTAAGAAAAACATAAATTATACTTTCAAATACAACATAAGAACAGTATAAGCACAATGTATTTGAAGGGCTCTAAAATATCATCGTCCCTGAGAGTCGAAGAAATTGGTCCTGCACGGAAAAATTTTCAACGTTTGTCGCTACGTGGAAAATATTTCAAACCATGAGGCTTAATGCTTGTTCGAAGCAAGTAGTATATGGATTTTATTTACTTTAAGCTCTGAAAAATTTAAATTAAACAAGCTTTCCCAAACCGTATTAGGAAACTCTTTCCCATTTTACAATATTTGATGTCCTTAAATGGCGTGCATTGCTGTACGGTAGTTCACAACCAACAGCATTTAGAATGTTCTTTGGCATAGTACTTACATGTTTAGATTTATTTATTATAGGATGAAGTTTCTCAACTTGCTGTTCTTGGTAATTAACTTATTGTTAGTTACATCCGCTTGGAAAATTAATGATGTTGAGCGCAAAGTAGATATTTCTACTCAAGTAAGACTTTCTCAGGAGTTGCTGGTTGTGTAGGACTACCTTTACAGATTGTGAAAGTGACTTCTGTTGTTACCTTTGAAAATGATAACGCTGACGCAAATAGTTTGTTCGTTTTGTTGACGTCTGAGGAGGAAGACCACTTGGCTTTCTTAGAAGTAAACGAAGACGGCAAGAGAGGAAAGTTGAAAGTATCAGCTGATGCTTCTGCTTCCAAGGAAGGATTCAAAGTAGAAAGAAAACTTTTTATTGTTTTAAAACTTTCAACTTGTAGGCTTATAAAGTAGATCTCAGCGCTAAAGTCGCAAAAGGAAAAACTATCAAGCTGAAAGTTGACTACAGACTAATCGAAGCATTAGTTCCTTTCCCAGCCAAAATTGCTCAATCAGATTCTCAGTGAGGAAACTGTAATAAGTAGTTAAACATTATATACTCTTTGTAGATTTGTACAATATCACGGTAGTGCTCATTATGCTGCTGCCTACCCTGTTCAAAAAGAGAAAACTACTATCAAATTGGCATCCGGCAAAGCTTTATCTGTAACATCTGTGAATCCTTCCAAGCAAGAAGGTGATGTTGTTACTTATGGTCCTTACGCAAGTCAACCTGCTTATAACAAAGTAAGAAAAAAATTTTTTCGGTTAAAAAATATTTTACAGAAACCTATCACTGTTCACTATGAGAACAACTATCCCTTCGTTGTTGCTACTCTCGTAGAGCGCTCCATCGAAATTTCACACTGGGGAGGAAACATCGCTGTTGAAGATTACATTGAACTTGTACACAAGGGAGCAGAATTGAAGGTTTTTACTGAGATTGGTTGTGATTAATTACCTATATATAATAGGGATCATTTTCCCGTCTCGAGTTCCAAATGGACAGAAGAGGAAAGCGTCAACCAGCTCTTCAGCGATTCTTAGTCAGTTTGTAGGATCATTTTTGTATAAGTGTTTCTTCGTTCAGACTGTACTCCCTGGAACAGCTAAAGACATTTACTACCGTGATGAAATTGGTAATATTTCGACCTCCGGTGTTCGTCTTCGAGCTGATAGTGTGGAAGTTGATGTCAGACCCAGGTATATAAAAATATCTTACTGTATTTTCATTATGAACGTTTCCAGATATCCTCTTTTCGGAGGATGGAAAACTTCTTATGTCATTGGATATAACCTTCCTTCATCCGAATATCTCTATCATAAGGGGAACAACTATGCCTTAAAAATGAAAGTCTTCGATCACATCTTTGACAACATTGCTGTTGAGAAGTTGACTACAAAGGTTATCCTTCCTGAATTAGCTGCGTGAGTTCTATGAGCTCTTGATGGTTTATATGTTCTGGGTTTTCAGAAAGGTTAAGGTATCCACACCATATTCTATGGATCGCAAACCTGATGAGCTCCGTGCTACTTATTTGGACACTGTTGGAAGAACCGTAGTTGTCTTGCAGAAGGAAAGTCTTGTAGATGACCACATTCAATCATTCACCGTTAGTTTCCGTAATAATCAATAGAAACACCACCATCTTTTTAAGCTTACATACGAGTTTGACTCTGTGTCACTTCTTCGTGAGCCTCTGATGGCTTCTGTTTTCTTCTTCTGTCTTTTTATTGTTGTTATAATTTATGTTCGTTTGGATTTCACTATCGTTGCCGTAAGTTTTCGATTGGTTTCATGTTTGAATTTTAATTTCAGGATCCTGAAAAAGATATCAAAGAGAAGATCCGTGGAATTGTGAGCGTTCTTGATTCTTTGATTGACAAAAAACAACACTTGTATACTGTGTTCATCAACGACACCAATGAATTCAAATCTACTGGGGATGAAGAAATATTGAAGGTAAAGCAAAAAACATGAATTTCGGCAGAATTCCGTAATCTTTCAGAACGCCAAAAAAGCTCTCGACACCAACAGAAATTCTGTGAACGGTCAAATTCAATCTACACTGAACTCCTTGAAAGCCTTGAGCGAATCTACTTATGAAAAGGTATTTGTATGGTTGAACTAACTTTCTAACACTGTTCCAAAGGCTACTGATCTTCTCCGATATGACAAGATTGTTTTGGATAATGTCGATGGATACTTAAGCGTCTTGGTGAAAAGTCAACAAAAATCAGGAGTCGAAGACGTTGTTTTGAAGAAGGTATCCGATGCTAGAATCAGAGCCGATGCTATACTTTCTTCCCTCTAAGCTGTTAATTATTCTAATTAATAAATTAATTTCAAATTAGTCAATGTGATTCTTTTGATATTAACTATCTTAGGAAGCAACACCCTTGTTATTTAACGTTAGTCCTATTGTTGTTCCATTCATTATCTCGTCTTCGTTTTATTTATGGGTAAATTATTTATTAAAGATGAAGCCTTTTCATTGCAGTGTAATAGCACCTACTCAGTATTTCAACACTTGAATCCCATTGATAAAGCTCTTTACATCCGCTTTGGTTTCCTTGGTAACCGAGTGAGGGCTTCCATAGTGTCTTGAAAGAGCTATACATCAAAATGATTCTAAATGTTTAATGTTTATACATTAGTTATCAGCTCGTATCGATGCAGAGTAGGAAACAGTGAAGAAATTCTCCCAATTTCCTTGAAATATAAGTCTGCTAAACGACACGACCCTCCACAGTGATTTTTTTTTTCAACATTTTGTAATCGCTGTCCTCATAGCAGTTTGTGATAAGCGTTTGTAGTACTACTAGCAGATATCTTTTTTCCTTTTTATGATCTGATAAGCGAGTTTAATGAATATAAATTGTTTGCCCGATACATTACGAGGTCAGTACGCTAAAAGTGCCAAATCGATGTCACAGGCTTGCTGTCCTCATGTTTCTATTGTCCTCAGCTATGTCAGTTAATGCAACTGTTAAGTGTACTTAAAAGTTCAGATGCTGTTTTGACACTTTCGGATGTATCGATTGGGTGAATTTAAAACCTAAACATTACTGTTCCCTCAATTTTTCAATATAATGTGTTCGCTTTCTGGCTTCTTGTCTGCGGGTTTCTCTTGCATAGAGACCCCGCCCCCTCACAACATATATCTTCCTGATTGTTAGATGCGACAAAGTATTTCTGACAGATTCATTTTCGCTTTTAATGGGAGCGGTCGGTTTTATCATTGCTTCTTGAAAATTCGGCTTTTTCTTTGAATTTAATTTTTCTAGTTTATCACGTAGTTTTCCGTGAAGAGTCATCTAAGAGTTTATCATAGTTAAGGTAAGCGCTCTGGAAATGGTGTTCGATGCAAGTCTGAAGGATGGACAGTCTCTCGAAGAGCTTATGTCCAACCATGCAGGAATAACTTACAAGTCCGTTCTCCTTTCCTTACGAGGTCTATCATTAAGAAACTTTCAGTGATTTTAATATTTTACCTGGATTCATTGACTTTTCTGTTCATGATGTTCAGTTAGATACTAAAATCACAAAAAACATCAGCATAAAAGCTCCATTGGCTTCTTCTCCTATGGATACAGTAACAGAATCTGGAATGGCTATTGTAATGGCGGTGAGATGAGAAAACAAGATTTGTATTGTGAGGAAGAATTGTTTACTTTAGCTCTATGGCGGTATCGGATTTATCCATGGTAATTTTCCAAATCCTGAAGAACAAGCTGCTGAAGTTTTGAAAGTGAAGGTAGGGAAAATAGCAGAACGTTATATTTCAGACTAATTTGTTTCAGAGATTCAAGCAGGGTTTTGTTATGCAGCCTCACTGTCTTCGCCCTGATGACACTGTTTATGATATGATTCAAATTAAGAAAAAGTTCGGCTATACTGGAGCCCCGATTACTGAAACTGGCAAAGTTGGATCTAAACTGCTTGGAATGATCAGCTCAAGAGATTTCGATTTCTTTGAAAATGATATTGATAAGCAAAAGCAGATTCCGGTTACCGATGTATGATTGCTCTTAATTTAAAACTTCAATTTATTGTTTAAGATTATGGTGAGCGTGAACAGCCTTATTTTGGGAAATATCAAGGATGATCTCGAGAAGTCTCAACAGATCCTCAAGCAGAACAGACTGGGTAAGAGATACAGAAAATCAGCATCGTACCAAACAACTTGTAGGAAAACTACCAGTTGTAAATGATAATGGAGAGCTCATAGCTTTGCTGTGTCGTGCGGATTTATTGAAGGTTTTAGTCTTTCCAAGAGAATTTGTTCTATCTCAGTTTGAAGGCTCGCGATTATCCCATGGCTTCTTATGATTCCAAGGGACAGTTATTATGTGGAGCTGCAGTTAATACCAGAGAAACAAGCAAAAAAACAGTTGCATTATTGGTTGATGCTGGTGTTGATATAATTGTCATAGTAAGCCAAAATCTTTTGATAATTTTGGTAATTCATTTGCGATAGGACTCCTCAAACGGCACATCCTCTTATCAAATTGACATGCTCAAATATATAAAACAAAACTTTCCTCAAGTTGATGTTATCGCAGGAAACGGTAAGAACTCTATCTTTAGTTCTGATCAAAGTGCTGAAAATCAGCAAAATAGATAAGAAATACTATAACCTACGCTGAAATCATTTTTTTAGTTGTTACTAGACAACAGTCAAAATGTCTTATTGATGCAGGAGCTGATGGGCTACGAATAGGAATGGGAAGTGGATCTATTTGTATTACCCAAGATAGTGAGTGTTTCTTACTGACTTATGTTAACGGTATCATCTCAAGTTATGGCCGTTGGTAGAGCTCAGGCTACCGCTGTATATCACGTCGCTCGTTATGCTCGTTCAAGAGGAGTTCCAGTTGTTGCTGATGGAGGAATCCGTGATGTCGGTTATATAACTAAAGCCGTATCTCTTGGAGCATCTGTAGTTATGATGGGGGGTCTCTTGGCTGCAACGACAGAGGTTTGAAAAAAACTTTATTTTTCATTAAATTTTGTTATTGAAACTATCGTCGGAAGACTAACATCTGAAAGGTTTCATCAACAAATTCAAGATGGGATTAAAAGATAAGAAAATATTTATTTTAAGGCTCCTGGAGAATATTTCTGGGGTCCTGCTGGAGTACGTGTGAAGAAATACAGAGGAATGGGATCTCTGGATGCAATGGAAGCTCATAGCTCCAGTCAAGATAGATACTTCACAGCGTAAATCTATTCTGTTCGAAATCCAGATTTGTGGTATATTTCAGCGAATCCGACCAGATAAAAGTCGCCCAAGGCGTTTCAGCCACCATGAAAGATCGTGGTTCTTGTCACAAGTTCATTCCTTATTTGATTCGAGGAGTTCAACATGGATTCCAGGATATCGGTATCAAATCATTAGAAGATCTTCAGTCTGTGAATCTCTTCTGTTCAGCTCCAATATTATTATTTTAGCAATAATGTATTGAATGGAAATGTACGTTTTGAGCAACGTTCTTCAAATGCTCAAGCTGAGGGAGGAGTACACTCTCTTCATTCGTGAGTCTATTTTATTTTATTATAAACGTGTATAGTGGAGCTACAACTAGTATCCTCTTACTTTGCATCAAATTTACAGCATAGAGCCAGACAGCTTTTTATTCCATCAGACCACTCCAGGTCTTTTCGGGGGTGAGCCATTGTAGTGATGTGACACCAATGCACAATAATGCTCCCACCCTCTGTGTTATGATCCCTTTATAAAAGAATAATTGCAAAAACTATTCGAATCATGTTATATATTTTAAGATTCGAAAAACGGCTATACTAGATGCGGTTCACTTTTGATGCAGAGATTTGATTCCGTTTCGTACAGGGAAAAAACATAAGTTCCATTTTTTCTTGC